TTGAGCCAAGGTACACAAAGTCATGAACAACCTCCAATTCTTGTGTGGAGATGGTAATGGAGGGAGGTGAGTCCACGCCCTGGTCCATGACTTGTTTTTTCGTCAGGCTGATTGTTAGTCCAAAGTCTTGGCAGGCCTTGCTAAAATGATTCATGAGTTGTTGGAGGTCTTCAGCAGAGTGGGCAACTGCATCATCTGTGAAGAGGAAGTCTCATATGCATTTCAGTTGGACTTTGGTCCTCACTCTCAATCTAGAGAGATTAAAGAGCTTTCCATCTGATCTAGTCCGGAGATAGACAACTTCTGTTGCAGTTCCAAAGGCATGCTTCAGCATGACAGCAAAAAAGATCCCAAAAAGGGTCGGTGTGAGGACACAGCCTTGTTTCACTCCACTTCCGATGTCAAAGGGATTTGTTGTTGAGCCATCAAAAACTACAGTGCCTTTCATTCCCTCATGGAAGGACCTGATGATGTTAAGGAGTCAAGGTGGACATTCAATCTTGGGAAGTATTTTACAAAGGCTGTCCCTGCTAACCAAATCAAAGGCCTTTGTAAGATCTCTGATGGCCACAAAGAGTGGCTGTCCTTCCCTGGATTTCTCCTGCAACTGTCTGAGGGAGAATACCATGTCAGTGGAGGATCTATTAACTTGAAATCCACACAGTGATTATGGATAGACTCAGCAGAGCTGAAGGAGAGCTGAAGCCAATAATCGTTGGAACATCTCCTGGCAGCCTGTTGGACTTGGCTACAAACAGCTCAAAGAGCTTGCAAATTGTATGCTGCTAGAGCTCTCCTCTTATCCTTGATGGCTGGCATCAACTCCTCTGAATGGGCTTCGAACCAGTCAGCCATCTTTTTGGTCTTCTTGCCAAAGGTGGACAAGGCGGTGTTATACACAGCATTCTTGAAATGTTTGCATCAGCCGGACGTGGAAGTGTTTCCTCAAGCGCTTCGGCAAATTCCTCCACTTTTCTTTGATCGCGAGTCTTGTTGATGTCAATACATGGTCTTCCTTCCTTTTTTGTGTGATACAATCTCTTTGTTCGCAGTTTTCCTATACGACACCCCAGGGAGTGATCAGTATCAAAATCAGCATTCTGGTAACTGTGTGTGATCGTAATACTAGGAAGGCTAGAATGTCCAGTGAAGATCAAATTGAGCTGATGCCAATGCTTGGATCTTGGATGTCTCCAGGAAACTCTGTGTTGAAGCTTCATATTAAAGAATGTGTTGCTGACACAAAGACCATAATAACAGCAAAACTCCAGCAAGCGTTGGCCATTTTCGTTCATCTTTCCAATGCCAAAATGGCCTAGACAGATGGGCCAAGAATTGTGATCAGCACCAATTCTAGCATTAAAGTCTCAGAGAATGAACAGTGCCTCTCTTTCAGGGACCTTTTTGATAGTAGCTGCCAGATCATCATAGAATTTGTCTTTCACTTCCGTGTATAATTTGCCAAAATCCTGAAGTGGCTCTCTTATTAAGCCACTTCATGATATTAGAAATTACCATTGGAAGGAGCCAGAACCAATAGGGTTGTTTTAACTCCGATATGCAAGGATCACATCAAATGGCATATCACACCTCTACCTGAACCTGAGTCACCCCAGTTAGCCCACACCAGCCCGCTCCAAAAGAGTCCGTGTAGACAAGTCCTTGGACTGGCCACAGTCTTACCTTTGCGAAGAAAGCTTCCTCTTGTGTGATCTAAGAGATCAGGTTCCATGTTTTCATAGTTTACCCTTCGATCCTTCCTCATTTTATCAAATGTGGCATTATCCACCACTGCATCTACCTCCTCTTCAGTCAGCTTCTTCCCTAGGAAGCTGCAAATTTTCAATACAGAGCCTCTCAGATCCTGAAATATGATATGGTTTACATATGAGACTCACAGATACACTTGGAGATCACCACCAACTAGATTCTAATGTAATGGCTCAACCCAGGATTACAGGCCACACAAAAGCAATCAAAGAGGAAAAACGCACATTGAGAGGTTTTAGAGGAACCCTGGAATCTTTTCCTATGTGTTTGTGAAAAAGACAGCTAAAACCTAAGTATTAAATAAATGGGTTGGATAGATAGAAGGATGGATGAAAATCACAAACACAAAGTTACACAAATGGATGGGCATCAACAACAACAACAACAACAACAACAACAACAACAACAACAACAACAACAACAACAACAACAACAACAACAACAACACAGAAATGGAAATGAATTATATAAAGCCAAGATAGTTCTATATCAATATGACCCCTCAAGACATAATGAACACCACAAATAATGTGAGGTATCAACTGCATTTTAAACTTTTAAACTTTAGGAATTTAGGAATACTCATAAAAAGAAATGAAATAACCATGCTTTTAAAGAAGAAAGGTGGGATAAAATATTTTAAATAAATAAATAATAAAGAAAAAAATAGCAAAATGGTAGAAAAATAGTTAACTAGGAACCTGAAAGAGATGACAAAATTAAATATTTTCATTAAAGGAAGAACCAGACTGTTAAAAAAAATATTTCAAGGTGGATTGTACTGAGTTCAGTGCCTAAAGAATGGCTGTGAGGAGAGGGATGTAAGAAACTGTGTGAAGGGCTAAATATATAAATATAGGTGTTAGCGCAAAAACGTGGAAGAACAGCAGGTTTAGCAGAGTATTATACAGTCCAGGTAATCTAGAATAACTCACGCACAAACTAGCGGCTTCTCCACCAATGTGTATTTACAAGGTATTTACAGCAGTTCAGCCTGGCAGCCTAACAGGTAGCATTCATCACCAAGCAGGAAGATACATTAACTGTTCAGCTTCAAATATATATACATATACAGATGTGCTTGTGTCCAATCACATTATGTGTGGCATCATGCATGAGTCAGCACTGCTGAGTCATCATGACTCAGTTTTTGCACATCTGTTCATCATGGCTGCTCATTAATATACTTCATTCTGATCAGACTTGTAAATTTACCTTGACAATAGGGACAACTACTGTAAATGTTGGTCACAGTGAAAGTGGAAGAGAGGAACTAAGAGAAGGTTGTTATCAAATCATGTTTATTCCTTTTGGTTATTTAAAGAGAGTTGGCTGGATAGCTCAATGGTTTAGGTATTTATTGCTGGAGCCAGAGGTTGGGAGTTCAGTTCCCCACTGTGCCTCCTGGGAAAAGAGTTAGCTGTATAGCTGTGAGTGAACTGCATTGTACCAGGGTGCCCTCAGAAGACCACTTCTGAGTACTTCCTGCCTAGAAAACCATGAAAAGGATTACTATAAGTTGGAATTGCCTAGAGGGCGTGCTATTACAGTTATTCTTCTTATTCTTATTCTTCTTATTCTTATTATAGAACATAATATGAAAGATGAAGTGACAAAACAAACCATGTTTGACATCTATATCAGAGAGAAGGGGTATAACAGTTTGAACCAAAGGGTATTTATTTATTTATTTGAAGATAAAATTCAGCATTTCAGAGAATGGACAGACAAAGGTGTATATAGACCAAAAGACCACACTGGCCAAGAGAACATCTGTAGATCTCAAAATTAGATTAGGAGCAATAAAAGCTAATTCATTGGAAAATAATTAAGATTCATAGACCGTTTAGATCAATAATTGAAAAAATATGTAAAAAATCACACAAACGCAACACAAAGTATTCAAAATATACTTATGGTGCAAAATGTAGGATTTTGGCACAAAGTTGCTTGGGAGTTACACCAAGGAAAAAAGTACCCCAAGAAGCAATGGAACAAAATGTGCTCACTCCCACCATTGAAATCAATTTCTGTCAAGTTCACAAAATTAACACTCAAAGTAATCTATAAGTAGCATCTAAGTCTATCAGAAACATCCAAATATAATACCACGATAACATTGCTGTGCTAGAGAGGCTACAGAAGCAGCAATTCTTTTTGTCATGTGTGGCTATGAGAAAATGGTACCTTTCCATAGATGTTGTATCAGGGCTGATACATGGATAATAAAGGCAACAATTTTGGAAAAGCATTGTATAGAAAAGTGCTTCAAGAAACATATTGAGAACTCAAAGAAACTAAACTCAGCTGAATAATATGTGTTGATTTTTAACATTCTCCCTGGCTGAAATGGCTTGAAGAGAACTA